ATTTTGAAAAGTAAAAAGTAAAAAGGTCGTGCGGCTAGTAATAACCACTGAAAGTGTGTGAGTGACAGTTTTTTCTTATCCAGAACATTTGCCTTATCTGAACACCGCCTGACAGTTGTCTGCCCAGAGATGGTCGGATAATCGATGTTCAACTGTAGGTCTTTTTACACTTCACAAGGCAGAACAACAGAGACCCAAAAGCTTTCACGTCACTCCGAGTTTCGTGTTCGAAAACACTCATCAGGCTCCGAGTTTCGTGTTCAAAAACACGAAACTCGGAGTAACGAGAAAGCTTTTTGGTCTCTGTTGTTGTGCCTTGTGTAGTACGCTCTGCCCTTTTTGAGATATGAGCACTATTTGCAGCAAGGACTTCAGACACTTTGTCTTATTACACTTCTACTTGCTCTGATATGCTGAAGCCTGATTCACTGAACCAGTTACTGTAAAACATGTAATTTTAGGTGCATTAAAATTTCGGTGCCAGGGACCTGCCAGGTTTCAGGTGTAATGTAGAATTAGGTGACCAGCGTTCCCTTCACATACAGTACATTATAGTGCCTTTTCGGTGGAATTTAAAATTAGCTGCCTGGTTTCTCTACCGAAATCACCGAAATTAAAGATACACGGAAAATTACATGTTTTACAGTACCTGTCAGGAGCAGTGAGCAACAAGCAACATAGACACACATGTGCACTTGCCTGTCACCTCCCCCCCCCCCCCCCCCCCCCCCCCGCTAACACACACGTACCATTCACACCCAGCGCTCGTATCGCACCGGCGTTGAGCGCTTGACCAAAGACGATCATTGCCATGGCAACGGCCGCGCGTCTCCATCCACCGAGATACCAGACCTCCTTGACGGCGGCCCCGTATGACCGTTCTCTCATGTGATCATACGGAAGATGCATAGAATAGAACCAGAAATACACGGCAAACTGTTCCACCTGCAACGAAGCGAGAGAAAAAACACAACGTGTCACATCAGTTGTAGCGGCATGATTGTATCGTTACGTTGTGTATAAGAGAAGATGCTTACGGCCGTACAAGGCAGGGTTCAAACCATGCTTCTATTCAAGTTACGCTTCTATTCAAAACATGCTCCTACGTCAACATCATCTGTCTACACTGTGCAGTTCGTACTGTTACGCATGTACTGTGCATGGGCTTGCACGTGTACTTTGCAGAGCGCAGCTTCTATTCAAACCGAGCTTCCGTGTCATGACGCACTTTAACAACTCGGTTTCTACACGAGTTTAAAAAATTGCAAAAAAAAGAGAACAAATTCTGCCGTCATCGCCACACTACAACGAAGTCATGAATGTTTGTTCTCTTCATTGCTATTGTAAAAATTGTTGTCTACACGTCGACAATTTTCTATACGGGTCATGCTTTTATACGCGACATTACGGTAACGAAGGCAGCGTGCCGCACATCTGGCCCATAGAAAACAGATCACAGTTGCATACTGAAAATATACAAAATGTGTAAGACCCAGCCAGGTATTGTCTGAATTGCAATGTCCCCTTTTAATAACAGGCTTTTTTCAACTTGTTTTTTGTCTCCCTGTAGTGTAAATGTGAGCTTTCAGGCTATCTTTGTGGAGTGCTATCTATCCATCCACCTTTACAACTGTAACATCAAATGTACTAGGGATATCTAGTAGACTGACCTTGAGCAGCATAGCCACGTAACACATCAGCTGGCTGGGATCCATGCCAACTTTACGTGAGAAACGTGTCCACACTCGCGGGAAAAACCACAGTACTAAATAGTAGACGTGAGGGATGGACAAGAGCAGAACTGCCTCCTGCCATGTCGGACCTCTATCCAGCAGCATACTGACCACTCTACTCTGCACAGGACAGCACTAGCAAGCTCGTTTTACTTTCCGAAAACAAGCTACAAATAATTGCATAAACCTGAAGACAACTAAAATTATTTCAGATTTTCAAACTGAAGCCATTGAACTTGAAGTGAAGTGGCAAGTGCACGACAGCTAGCTTGTTTGTGATCTACGAAGATCGAAGATCGTGCGTGCAAGCACACACGTGTACTCGATCGTACATATGTGGCACGTGCGTGTGCCATGGGAAAATTTTTATCGCCTATATCGGGACACAATCTAAAAGGGAGTAGTAAAATACCTACTCCCGACTACACGTGGGAGACCCGTTCAAAAGATCACAAGACAAAACTGTGCAACCATGAACAAAAGTACGATCACTTAAAGTCTTTGTAATCACCAAACAAACTCTAACTGCAAACTTCCATAATTAAAAAAACAAAAAGACAACCCAAATTGGGCAATGCATAGAAGAATGATAGAACACAAAAGCTTGACAAGAAACTCAACTAGTGTCTCAACTTCGATTCGAAGTACCATGATTGTTTTCAGCTGGTTAAATAGTCCGGATCACAATTTCTGCAGAGGAGTTTACATGACACAGTTTTCACAGGATCTCCTGTTGGTGTTGATTTTGCAGAGGAATGGCTCTGGCCAGAGAAATTCGACCTCATGAATATACATGTACATGTAGTAGCGCCGCATTTGAGCGCACAGAACAGCGTGTGTAGTGCTAGGATCCGGCGCTATTTTATTCTTAAAAGTTATAAGATTGAAATTTTCTGGCCAGCACCGCGTACCGTACATGGTACATGGGGCTAAATGTTCTTCCCAGGCAGTCGTAAAAAATACCATAATCCTCACGACTCCAAGGTTCTTGCCTTCACGTGTAAAACTCACTGTACTTTTCCCAGTTAGAGCACTCTGACTTTGACCCTTGGAGCCAATTCAAGATTGACTTCTTGCTCACTATAAGTAGACTTCATTCAACGATCGATTCGGCAAGTCAATCGGACCAAGACGGTCGAAACAGCGAACAGCGAGGTGTCCGAAGATAAAGCATATGTAAAGACACTGCTAGCTAAGCGTAACAGTTCTTGAGATGAGGGTATGAAATAAATCCGGAAAACTCTGAGATATGGTAAAAAGATAAAAGAGGAATTGGTGATCTAGTCTTCTAGATACCAAAGCTTTTAAAGATAGGCCCAGCCAGGGGTCTATACACTAAATCAACGGCCCAAAGAATGAGGTGCCAGAGATCATACAGGATACGATGCATTCACAGGTCAACTGCTGTTCACAAAACAATGGACCAACAATTGTATAATATGAAGTGAAGTGCCTAGTGATGGCGCACGAGTAGATGAACCTACGCAAACAGGTGGCAGCGTACCTACCAACAGGTGAAAATGCCCCCAACAACGGGTATTGTGCCCCTGACAACGGGTATTGTGCCCCCGACAGCGGGTATTGTGCCCTAACAGCGGGTAAAAGTACCCCTAACAGCTGGGAAATGGGTCCCTAACAGCGGGGAAAGGTGCCTGTGTGGATATGTCTCCCTGATACAAATAGGCCACAGTACCTGTCGTATGAGATTTGAAATGACTAGCTCAGTACTCGGTGTTCAGAGACCGCCGCCACTGACTCGGATGCAGGTCGTGTTTTAGCCGCTCAAACAGCACACCGCCAAACTGCCCGCAGAACGGCACGACATAATGCCATGCCGGCCACGTGAAGAGAAGCTTGCGGCGACACGGCACAAAAAAGCGGTTCCGCTCCCGCAGCGCTCGCCCCATGCGCTGCAGGTCTCTTGCCGCAAAGCCCTGCCACTGGCCGAAAAAGTCCACCGTTGTCGAGTCGAATACGAACAGCAGAATGCTGTGGAAGAGCAGGAACGATGACATCATCATAGCAAGCACCACCACGGGTAGAAATACTAGCGAGCGCGAGCCCAGCTGCCGACACGTCCAGTGCACTCGGACACCGCCCTCGCGCAGCTGCTGCTCGGCCTGCTCAAAGTCATCGGACACCCAGCACACATCGAAGTCGCGGTAGGTCATGCATGCCGCGTACACAAGCCCTGCCGTGCAGTACAGCAGGAACAGGTAGAAGTGCGCAAAGTTGTGCTTGGACACGCAGTTGCGCGTGAACGGACAGTGATGGTCCATCATGGTTACGCAGCAATCGCACACGCTGCAGTGATGCGTGCCGGGAAACCGGAGTCGACGGCACCTGTCGCACTCTTCGACTGCCGGCAAATCTAAATCTGTGCCGGGGACTGAGTTGTTGGCCATTCGTGATCGCACTGACAGGGGGAAACCCCTCGTTGTGGATGTTCCCTCATTTGGAACATACTGCTTATCTGCTGCAGACATATCTTCATCTGAACAGGTACTCACACTGGACTGATCTGAGTCACTCTGCTCACTGCTAGACTCGTCAGGTGATTCACAAGTCTGCTGCTTTGCGAGCACAGCGTCTGACTTGACGAACACAGCTCCCATGTAGTTCGACACCGTATTCAGCCACAGCCAAATCACCAGAGCGTAGTGGAGACTGGGGGTGTCGGTGCGCGGCGCCACCATCTCGCAGAACTGCTTCATGGCCAGGAAGAACAGCATGGTGACGCAGAACACCAGGATCGCCGTCACTGCCTTCTGGGTCATGCGCCTCACACCCAGCTGGGGAAACAGTCCGCAGAGGATGTCAGCAGCGAAGGGCAGCTGCACCACCAGCACGCCGATCAGAATTAGCCATAGCACTGGGTCCATGGCCTGCTGTCTTGCTCCACTGAATCAGTAGATTTACACGTCAAGCCAGCGATCAAGTATTCCAGCAAATAAGATGCTCTGACTGGAGGGCGACAAAAACTTCCAGGGATACAATATCGCCGATATGAACCCTTGTAGCTGATTGTACCAGGGATCAGGGTATTGTACTACTCCCTGGATAATAGAAACATTTGCTGGAGGAAATACAATGACATACATTTTGAATTTTCGCTTCAAATCCTTCGCCATTTCCGTATCCTTGGAGAAGTTGACAAGTCACGACGTCATCGAACTGACGTGACGTGATGAGCTCTGATGACCCATGTCATGCAAATTTTTTGATCAGTTGATTTGCTTGCTCGACTTCTTGCTCGTGTCTGCTTTGCTTTCGCTGCAGTGTTTGTGAGGCGCAGTTCTTTCTCTCTCGGTAGTTTTGATCTCGGCTGCTAGAAGAGTAACCATGATCCGCAATCTGTTCACGCGCTCTGCAGGTGTCGTGCCGGCTGCTCTGCGCGCCGGAGCTGTACCCACGCAGCTGCGGTTTTGTAGTGATGTCAGCTTTGAACACATCAAGGTGAGAAACAAGTGAGCATAATTATTCATTTCCAATACACTCATTGCAGTGAAGCCATTGCGAAAAGAATCATTTCACCTCAACACTGAAATCGAAATCACTCCTCGTCCTCCTCTGGGTGCTGTGATCAACACTGAGAAAACCTGTGGATTGGGGACTTTGGTCGCACAAATCCGGAATTTTATTTTCATTGCTTGTGATTTACAATGTGCTTGGCATTTGCACTGCCAAGTACAGCTGTACTACGCAATCTCTCCATGTGTACGATTTCTCCACATAACAGATACCCGGGTTTGTGTGTTCATGCACGTGGGCACAAGATTAAGTAGCAACTGCCCAAAGCTTGCAACACCGCACCGGCCACCTTCATCGCGACTGGTTTTCAACCGAAAGAATTTTCTTTGTGACGTACACCTGTTGACCCTACACTAAACTGCGAGCGCGTTCACGCTGTGCTTCATTCATCAACCGGTGGCGGTAGCATATTGTCGAATTTCGTTCTCACACTTCTTTGGCGGTCTAGTTCAAGCAGCTGGCAAAGAAAAAATGACAATTTTCTGGAATAAGGAATTTGAAAAATTCACTCTAAGACATGATTTAGCTGGCTCTAGCCCATATCAATCTGTGCTTCTCTTTTGCTTCCAGACTCGTAAGGAAGCTGAAGGTCGTGTGGGTGTAATCGAGCTCAATCGGCCGAAATCTCTCAATGCACTTTGCGACACACTGATGTACGAGATCAGGTCTGCACTGAAGTCTTTTGAGAACGACAAGGAATGTGCCGCTATTGTGCTGACTGGCTCTAAGAAAGCATTCGCTGCAGGTGAGTGATTTAAGTGTTGTGTGTGTGTGTGTGTGTGTGTGTGTGTGTGTGTGTGTGTGTGTGTATGTGTGTGTGTGCAAGCGTGCGAGTACATGTACGTGTGTGTGTGTCTTGGGGGGGGGGGGGGGGGGGGGGGGGAGGGGGAGGCATGATTCGTTTTTGATATCAATGTCGACATAACAAATTGCGTACGACTGACACAAAGCACTTTGCTGTCGGCATTCTCCTTGCCAATCTCTGTGAACAGCAGGGGCCGAAAGACACCCGGTTGGCATTTTCCATGTCAGTCTTTCTCTCTGCGTATGAACTTTGACTCTGCAATCACCATTGCACTACTTTTCTTCTTCTTTTTTTTAACACCCTAAGGCTAACACCCTCTCTCTCTGCATTGGCCGGTGTTCTCACTGTGCTATGAGATGCTGTAATAAATATATAAATAAACTAGGATGGAGAGCCAAGCAACATGTAACTTGTAAACCTTTGTAACGAGTACTGTAGAACGGGTAATTTTAGCGACGTAAAAACCCTAGCGAATTTAGCGATCGACTCATTTTCGCTAAGTTTCAAGTCGCTAATCCGTTGAGACGTTAGCAGTGCACTGGTGATCCGTGAGTAAAATCGCTGCAAAATCGCTAACCGGTTGACCATGGGAAAACGCTAAAATTAATAGTCGCTCAAATTACCCGTTCTACAGTAACTTCTTTTCTTCTTGTTTTTCGTCGGCCGTCTCCTCCAGGTGCTGACATCAAGGAGATGGTTAGCCGTACGTTTCAGGAGTGCTACACCACCGACATGCTGGGACACTGGACGTGCGTGGCCGAGTGCCGCAAGCCGACGATCGCCGCTGTCAACGGGTACGCGTTGGGCGGCGGCTGCGAGCTGGCCATGATGTGCGACATCATCTACGCCGGCAACAAGGCCAAGTTTGGCCAACCGGAGATCAAGCTGGGAACGATCCCGGGCGCAGGCGGCACCCAGCGACTGACGCGCGCCATCGGCAAGAGCAAGGCGATGGAGATGGTGCTCACCGGGCGCATGATGTCCGCGGACGACGCCGAGAAGGCCGGCCTGGTGAGCCGAGTCGTGCCCGAGGACGAGCTCATGGACGAGGCCGTGAAGCTCGGCGTGGAGATCTCGCAGCAGTCCAAGATGGCCGTGCGCATGGCGCGCGACGCTGTCAACTCGGCGTACGAGCTGTCACTGAGCGAGGGCTGCAAGCTGGAGAAACGAATCTTCTTCTCCACGTTCGCCACCAACGACCAGACGGAGGGCATGACGGCGTTTGCCGAGAAGCGTGCCGCCAAGTTCACCGACTCGTGAGCATAGCGTTTTCACGACCAGCTATTCTCTCACCGAAGTGCTCCCGTTGGGTTCTGCATGTCCTATTAGTGTCTGCACCCATTGGCTGTAGCCAGGCATGATGGTGATATTTCAACCCAGTGATGTGCGCCCGGTACTATTTTCTACCCTTAGCTCACTGTTTTTGTGAATACAGATTGGCCACTATGTGTCCTCTCTTCTAGAGACATCGAGTTCTTGCTTCGGACAATGGCTTTTACGCTGCGTATGCAGGGTCTGCCCTACACGCCGTGACTGCTTGCATGCATGCCTTGTTAGCTGAGGATCAAGCATTGCCACACGCGCGCTGTCACATGTTTCTAGGCCTGGTGTTGTGAGTCAGCGTGTCGGAATGCAGCTTGATGTGATACCTCGCCGTGTTGCTTACATGCAGTCTGTGAACTGTTCTGCTCTGCTACTATCAGCTTCCAGGGTAGTACGGTTATCTTTATCAGCTTTCTCGTGTTATATGTCCTACTGGTAGTGCCCTTACCCATGTTCTCTTTGTGAAGTTTTAAATCCTGTTCCCATAGTTACCAGACGCCTCTCTGCGCTCTGTCTTGATGTGTGTGTGTGTGTGTGTGTGTGTGTGTGTGTGTGTGTGTGTGTGTGTGTATGCTTTGGGCATGTGTACACCTTGCATGGACCGGTGTGTGCGCGCGTGTGTGGTGGTCAAGTGCTGGTTGCGAATTTTAAACGAGCTTTGGCTCCCCAGTCTCTCTCTCTCTCCCCCGTCTATTTTCTGCCTCTCTCTCTCGCTCCCTCTTACTCTCTCTGCCGCGATATCCCTTTCAGCCTCTCCCGCAACAAACAGCGCATGTATTGTCATTACACTCAAGCTGCACTAGTGCTCTAGCATGCAGCTTTCGTTCGCAAGTGTGTCTGCCAACTTCTGTCAAAGTGAAACTTTGCTAGCCCAAGTCACACAACTAAACAGCAGCTGATCTTTTGCTTTCATACATCGCGCTGCATCCTGGTGCCTGTCGAACCAGCCAGGGAGTCGTATTCTACATCTACCTGGCCCGAACTGCTTAACCTAATCCCGATTTAGCAAGACTCTGGTGACCATACCTACCCTCCCCGGTACACCAGCCACTGTGAATAGCAAGGCGAAGATAGAAATGTAGTCACATTTGTAATGTTCTAAAAAAACAGCAGGTAAAAAATCAATACTTTCCATCAGCAGAAATCGAAAACATCAAGACAAAAAAATCGGTAAAGCAGCCCAAAAAAGCTATTGAATAGTCAACCAAAACTCGAGACGATATTGAAAATTGTTACTGAAAGATTGGCCAATGGCAGCAATTGAAAAAAATGCCTCTCAACAGCAGAACATAGTTACTGCAAATACTAGAAATCATAAAGTTGAGGTAGAGTTGTAGAGGAGGAGCACAAACACACTGGGGACACTATTATCTTGTCAGTCAGAACTGTTCCCGGGCATGGGGCTGGATGGCACGACAGTAGAGCGGCACGGCCCGGTAGGGGATCCGATTCTTTGAATACACTGACCACAGTGGAACACTGATCTCGGTTGGTAGCTTACGCAACTGGAGGAGAGCGATACGGCTGTGAAACAACTGCCGCTTCAGGCACCTACAAGGCGACCCTGCCAGGTGCCGGCAAGAGTTGTTCACGGGGAAATGGCTGTAATAACCAAGCCGCCTCTTCACGGGTCAATGAAGTGCGGAAAACCTCTGGCCAGGATCAAAAACGTGTTGGGGGAAGGAATTGATGATTTCAGGTAAGCACCACAGCCATTGTGGGGTAATGGGCATCAACAACGAAAGGCAACAAAAAGAAGACGAAATTCAAGCAATTTTCAAGCACGCGAAACAAACGTTCACCTAAGTACGCAATAAAGAAAATATTCGCTTCAGATCAACCAAAAATAGCATCCGGTGGGAGTATAGAAGAGGTCGCCAATACAACCGTGAATACATTGACAAATAGACAGAAACCGAAAATAAACAAACAGACAGACAAACACTAGTAGTTAGTTGGTGACCTCAGTCAGATAGACTGACTGACAGACAAGCACACAAACATGCAAAATACACACACACACACACATACATGCACACAAACAGACACAGAAACAGACACACACACACACACACACCTAGGTGAAGACCACCAACAACAGAAATTCTCAAGATCCTTGTCAGCTGTAGGTACTGGCCGTAGCAGTGGGTCGCGCCACAATCAAGGAAACGTCTCTGGCCTACTGGAGGACACCATCAGTGGCGCTTGGTATCACGACGGCACACCATCACTTGGGATGTGGCATCAAGACAGACAGCCGCAAGGGTTCGCTGAATGCTGGCTCCAAGGTAACCTAATCCGCCACTATCTGACAGTTAGTTGTAGACCACCTCATAGAGGATTGCTCGATTATGTCCTGATCCGGTTATGATGTACTTGTCATCCGCCGACACATCGCAGCATAGTATGCTACGATAGTCCTTGCTCTGTGAAAGAAGAAGAAGAAATGATACACACACGGGCACATGCATTCAAGCGCACGTGCACACACACACATATACACACACACAGACAAGCAAATTGAGTTGCTTGGGATACATGATCAATGCCGCCAAGAGGACATAATGCAAGCATGCTGGAATATCAATATGAAAACTAGTTCGCGCGCGCAAACACACACACACACACGCACACACACACACACACACACACACACACACACACACACACACACACACACACACACACACATACACACACACACACATATATATATATATACACATATACACACACACACACACACACACACACACACACACACACACACACACACACACACACACACACACACACATACACACACACATACATACACACACCGGCTAACTTACATGGAACAAATTGGCGCCATAGGGCATTCCCCATACGCCAAGCTTCGTATCCTTGCTTGTGGTGACGAACCACTTCCCTATTACAATGACAGAACAGCACATTGAAATGCAAAATGCAGATGTAGAAAGCACAACAAATCAGCAAGGGTGAGAAGCAGTATTGTCACTACTTTCTATGAGAAAAGAACAAGAGAAAGATTCAAGCCCAATTTCTTGGTCAACCCCTGAAGATCTTCAGAAGTGTGTGTGTGACAAAAAATGTCTATTTCAATATTAAATTTTGATGCAAACAGCAAGGGTGCTTTTGGCAATGTTTACTATTTTTGTCATAACATCTGTTTGTAGCCTGCAACAGTGGACATGTACGGTGCTGGCCAGAGAAATCCAACCTGATGAATAAAATGGCACCGGGCGCTGCGCAGCGCTAGCACTACACATACTGGTCTGCGCACTCAAACTTTATTCATGAGGTTGGATTTCTCTGGCCAGCACTGTACATAGACCCTTGGGTGCTGAGAGATGGACAGAGCATTTATTTTATATTTTTTTACAAGGTACCTCGTTGGCCAATCGAAGGCAGCACAGTATGCGAGCATCTCATGCCTAAGAGCATGCACTTCGATTCACACGGCTGGGACTCCTGCTCACTAAGGTCTCTTCCCACCCGCTCTTGGTGCGTCAAGGTGGCCATGAAGTCGAGACCCTCCGTCAGCAGACCTCCCTAAACCTCACCACCACTGCCACGATTCGTGTTGTCCGTACTCTCCTAGCTTCAGCTCATATTTGGCATTTTAAAAAGTAATCTTTGTAAAAAGGAAAGAAAAAAAATAGTGGTCTGCGTGGACACCCTGCACTGTCTTACCGGACGCAGCAAACTTGAGTGACAACACCGAATCCTCGTGCAAGTGCGACACGTAGCGATCCGACCGGTTGATGTTGAACAGCTCAATGGTGCTGTTCTCCAAACTGCAACGGCAAGGAAGAAGAGGCAAACAAGCCAGCACACATTAGCACTGTGCTCGCTTTGTAACTTCCTGGAGGCACTGTCGAAGGCTGGTAAGCACCTACTCACACTACACTCTCCCGTGTACATGTACAGTTGATTAATTAACACTGCCACAGGCCACTTATCTAAGTTCACGTAAAGTGAGTTCACATAGCGTGGTGCATTTTCCAAATCAGTCATTTTTCACTCATATAGCAACCGGGTTGTACATGGGGTAGTGGTCTACCAGAATGTACTCACGATGGCAGGTGGGCGAGAGTTGTGCAGTGGAAGAGCAGCAGTGCACGACAGAAAAATGGCGAGTGAAAAATACGTTTTTTACACTCTTTCGCTACGTTCAGCCGTGAAAAACAACACTTCCGTGCACACCTGGGCAGTTGCTGGACATGAATCTCACACTGCACACAGTAAAACCTGTCAAGGCGACCACCTGTCCCGGAAGACCACTGCAGCCAGGGCCACGGGATGCCATTTCCAGTCAAATGGCCCTGGATAAGGAGACCACCTGGTTACAGAGACCACACTTTGAAAATCCCTTGAGCAGCCGCCTTACAAGACAGGTTACACTGCACATATACATGTACTTCCTCCGTTAACAAAAACTTCGTGATGGATTTTTGAGGGGCTGATTTGGGCACAAACTGCCGTGCAATGAGTCGCAATCACTTTCTTGGCCTTCCCTGGCATGCCATGAAAGAAGTACAATGCAAGGAAATCGAACTTTCACAACAAGTCGAGCGGAATCGATGGTTGCGCTGTGGAAACGTAGGTGATGACAGTCATGGCGAGCGAAACTGAAATACCACTTCTCCGAGGGGATATTGCGCTGCTTGGCCTCTCTACCACTTTGGCACTAAGTGAGTTGGAGAGCGATAGAGAGCGATAAAACGGAGCAGCGAGCCCACATAATGAGCGAGTGAACAAGGGCTGCTCCGATCGCACGGCTCAATGAAAACTAATTCTGAACTCAAGTTCTTGTTCAAACTGCGCAAAGCCCAGATTCGAATGATGATCACCATGCATTCTTTCAGAAGTCTGCAGTCCGATGCGAGTCTCATGGCTAAAGAAAGTCGACTGGACTTGCTAGCCGCTGCCGTTCAGTGCTTGCAGGGGTATCCATTAGAGAAAATGGAACCAGTTTGGCTGTGCCTTTACTCCTCGTTTCCCGGAGTTCTGGAGAGCGAAGATGAAACCAGGGAGTCGTAAAATATTTTTCACGACTCCCTTGTGGAAACGAGTAATCGCCATCGCGGCGGATCACGCAGCTTGAAAGCCAACTTACTTGAACGACGGCGACATCAAGGTCAGCAGAGTGTGATCAAAGAAGCCGAGGCAAGGCTGAAACGAGCTGAACAACGACTCGAGAGAGATGACGACTCGCGTGCAGCAGATGACGACTCGGGGGCAGCAGATGACGACAGCGACGCAGGTCAAAAATGAGTCGAGCGAAAGCGACGCAAACTGAACTCTCTGCTCTTTCCTCCAACAGTTTCTCTTGAAAAGACGCTGTACATAGGCCGATTCACCTTCGTCTAGTGATTTGCAGTCGATACAAACTGTTCTTGACCTGTTCTAAGCGTTTTCATATCCATCAAAATCCATCACGAAGTTTTTGTTAACGGAGGAAGTACATGTATATGTGCATATACATGTAGAGCTGGTGTGGTAGTTGTAGTGCAACATTCAACTGCGTGTTCTGTTTATTGCCGAATTTGCATTGTCTTTTCACTTCGGTTCTTGGTAACTTCTTTACTTCATGGTTCGTCGCAATTGGTTTTTTAAATAAATCTGCTCTCCACGGTCGTGAAGCAGTACTGAGAGAGTAGGCTACAAGTGGTGTACGGGTGAAAGCAGGGGCGTTGGAAGGTATTTTAGTGTGGTACGGTCAGCCATCTGAAGTACAATTTACTTGTGGGGGAGGGGTGGTTGAGCCGAACATTTCGGAAATTTAGAGCCCAAATCAGTGCATTTTATTGATTCACAGTGTACTTGGGTCAAATAGTGGTACGGCCAATACCGTAGTGACCGTACCGTGTGCGACGCACCTGGAAAGACATGCGAGAACGCCATGAGTGAAAAGCAGGCAATAGTCGCTCCATGTGTGGACTCTTACCCGACGGCAAAGTATTTCTCAGCATTCTCCGACATACTCGTGTAGCCAATGGAGAAGACCTGCGAGTCGAACTTGTAACACTTCATCTCCGTCATCTGTCGCGTGTCCCAAAGGCGTACTTTACTATCCAGTCCTCCCGTGACTAGCCGAGTACCATCCTTGGCAAGGTCTAGACAACTGGCGCCATCAGAATGGCCAGGAAGTTGCCTATTTCACATACAAACACACACACGTACATGTACACACACACGTGCACACACACACACACATCTGATGAGCAAAATGTGGCTATGGACCACACACGAACGCACGCTTGGGGAGAACTAGAATAATTCCATAAAGACATCAGGGTGTTTTCCCTCTCATAAACACATGCCCTGTTGGCCAAAAATCTGATTTTTCCATGGGACCCTCCCCCCCCTCCTATCACTCCGCACTGCCCTGTGACAGCCGTGCACATGCCCTGCACATGGATAAGGGAATGCAGTACACCGTCCAGACTACTTACTGTATAACCTTCCGTGTACGCATGTCCCACATGACTATCTGTCCATTACTGCAGCAGCTGTAAACCACCTGTAGCGCGGAACCATGCCAACAGCACACACGCACGCAAGCACGCACACACACACACATGACAACAGGATATTACTGTAAGATCAAACCACACGACTACCGCGTAGCACGTTAATTTCGGTGTGATTTCAATTTCGGTAACTTCGGTAAAGAAACCAGGCACCTAGATTTAGATAATATCTACATGGCGCTAGAGTATGCACTGTGTGTGAAGGGTAGGCTGGTCACCTAATTCTACATTGCACCTGAAACCTGGCAGGTCTCTGACACCGAATTTTCAGTACACCTAAAATTACATGTTATACACTATCTGTCCATTACCTGCAGCAGCAGTGCGCCACCTGCAGCACGGGGCGGGGGGGGGGGGGGCACACACGCAACCAGTCCAACAGCACACATACACAACAACAGGATGCTGAGCGGAGAGGAGAGCGTACCTGCTATGGTAGGGTTATGCTCTACAACCGTTATATTCCGTACATCACAGGACGAAGGTTAGGGGCATATGACAAAATGGAATTCCAGACAAATATTTCTGTTCGAGCGCCTTACCATGCCATCCGCAGATGTAGCCACTGCGTAGCATGCCGGGGCGCTGGCTACCAGTTCACCGACTGGTCTCATTCCCTGCACACAGCGCAGAGCAAGAAACACACAGTGTTGCAAGTGCACTCGCAATGTCATGTGTGTGTGTGTGGGGGGGGGGGGGGGGGTCTCTGTGTGTGGGGGGGGGTCTGTGTGTGTGTGTGGGGGGGGGGGGTCTGTGTGTGTGTGTGTGTGTGTGTGTGTGTGTGTGTGTGTGTGTGTGTGTGTGTGTGTGTGTGTGTGTGTGTGTGTGTGTGTGTGTGTGTGTGTGTCTGTATCTGTGTGTGTGTGTGTGTCTGTGTCTGTGTCTGTGTGTGTCACTGTGCATGTGAATTAGTATGTGTGCATGCATGTGGGTGTACGTGTAATCGTGGCAAGCGTGTACATCAGGGGACCAAATGTACTATACCATGGTGTGCATGTGCCGCCGCTGCACAGGAGTTACCAAGCTAGACATAATATTATAGACAGTATATGGCACAGCAAACGGAAAT